AAAATAATATACAGGCATGATGACTACAATAAATAATGCTGTGTTGAATACTGAAAATACGCTAAGAGAGTAAATATCAGGTAATCTCACCACAAAAAAAAAAGATAACTATATGAGAAGAAGGTATATTAATTAATTTGACTATAGTAACCATTTTACTATATATATATCTAATTATGGTGTATACCTTAAATATATACAATTGATGTGTGTGTGTATAGAATGCCCTGCAGGAACTCTGAGCCTAAAGTGTCTTAATAAAAAAAAAGAAGAAATTTCAAAAGAACTCATGACACCAAAAAAAGTTCTAATTTTTATAATGATGGTATAATGATAGAGAAAGTCCTTGTTCTAAGAAATAATGAAGTATTTAGTGATTAAGGGACATGATGTCTGCAACTTATGTAAAATGGTTCAGAAAAAATTTGAGTGTGTGTGTAAACAGGGAGAATGTTAAAGTAAACATAAACAATTGGGGTATCTAAATAAAGACTATCCAGAAGTTCCTTGCACTATTTCTGAAACTTAAAAAAAATTATATCAAGTATATATTAGTTAATAATGTACCATTATTAATTATTAATACATTAGTTAATAATATAATATATATTTAATAATTATATATAATAAATAATAATATATTGTATATTTGAAATCTGCTAAGAGAGTAGATATCAAGGGTTCTCAGCACCAAAAGAATGGTAACCATGGCAGGTAATGAAAATGTTAATTAGTCTGATTGTGAGAATCATTTCACAATATATACATATATCAAACAGAGAAACATCATGTTGTACATCTTAAATACATACAATTTCTATTTGTCAAAAATAATAAAAATAAGTTATACCAAAATAAAAACTTACCCTCTTCCCCCTGGCAAAAACCCAAATAAGGCAAAAGAATTACCTTGATTAGATATTCAACAGCATATTCTTGAGATAAGATGAAACATAACAGAAAACACAGTCAAGGGTTTACATTTTAAGGTATTATTCATTTTATACTTCACTTTATACTCCATGGAGCTTTGATTAAAACAGTTAACTACCTTTACTTGAATTTTTTATACATATACACACCCATAAGTTTAGATGGATGCTATACATAAGTTCTATATATACACAAATGTATATGTGTGTAAATACGTGTAAATATAAAATGCTAGATGTAAAAAAGAGAGCAGACAGATTAGGAGTGGGGCTCTGAACTCCTATACAGATAAGTCCATTTCCCAGCACCATCATTTATTAGCTGGCTAATCTTGGGCAAGATATAAACCACTCTATGCCTGAATTTCCTCATTTTTAAAATGCAGACAGTAATAGTTTTTTTTTTTTTAAGATTTTATTTATTTATTTATTTGGCAGAGACACAGCGAGAGAGGGAACACAAGCAGGGGGAGTGGGAGAGGGAGAAGCAGGCTTCCTGCTGAGCAGAGAGCCCAACGCCTGATGTGGGGCTCAATCCCAGGACCCTGGGATCATGACCTGAGCCGAAGGCAGACACTTAACGACTGGGTCACCCAGGTGCCCTGACAATAATAGTTTCTAATCTAATTAAGATTCTGGTGGGGGCGCTTGGCTGGCACAGTCAGTAGGGCATGCAACTCTTGATTTTGGGGTCATGAGTTGAGCCCCACATTGGCTGTAGAGATAACTTAAAAATAAAAAAAAATCTTAAGATTCTTTTGAGGATTTCAAAGGACAACACATGTAAAGAGCTTAGCACATTCAGCAATGAGAGTTATTATTTCACTGGTTTCAGACACTAGTATCAAAATAAAATGATTCTCTAACCTAAAAGATAATAAATGAAACATCAAATGTCTTGAGATTGCAGTTACGAACTACTTCATACCAGTCAGAAAGAAAGGGAACAAAAGCTGAGTCAAAGGGGACCAGATCAGAATGTTTATTTATTTATTTTTTTTTTAAAGATTTTATTTATTTATTTGAGAGAGAGAGAATGAGAGACAGAGAGCATGAGAGGGGGGAGGGTCAGAGGGCAAAGCAGGCTCCCCGCCGAGCAGGGAGCCCGATGCGGGACTCGATCCCGGGACTCCAGGATCATGACCTGAGCTGAAGGCAGTCGCTTAACCAACTGAGCCACCCAGGCGCCCCAGAATGTTTAAATTAAACAAAATATAAAAATCCTCTTTACAACTAGATTACAGATGTCAAAACATTTTGAGAACAATGTATTAAAGAATGATCTTCGATTTTTTTTTTTTTAAGAGAAAGAGAGAGAGCAAATGCATGTGCAGGAGACGGGGTGGGGGGAAGCAGAGGGAGAGAGAATCTTAAGCAGGCTCCACGCCCAGCACGGAGCCCCACAGGGGGCTTGATCTCACGACCCTGAAAGAATGATCTTTATTTGAAAGTGCCTTTGATTCTGCTTAGTTGACTCAAATTTATGTTCAATAGGTGAAATTTACATATTTTTAAAAAGCATCTTTACTGCCTATTTAAATTTCCATAAGGAAGAACTACCTAACCACATGGACTCTGCAACCATTTTTAAGAGTTATAGTTAACAAGGGCGCCTGGGTGGCTCAGTCAGTTGAGCATCCACTCTTGGTTTTAGCTCAGGTCATGATCTCACGGGTTGGTTGTGAGATCGAGCCCCAAGTTGGGCTCCAGGCTCTGCAGGGAGTCTGCTTGAAGATCCTCTCCCTCTGCCCCTCCCCTCGCTCCTGCACATGAGCACGTTCTCTCTCTAGAATAAATAAATCTTTAAAAAAAAGAGTGCTAGTTAGCAGAATTTTATTTAGTAATTAAGGTATTGAAGGTAAGAAATAATAAATTCTGTCATTTATCAGAACTTATAAACTCAAACGCCTACATAGGCCAGGCATCAGAAACAGTCATGTAAAATCAATAGGGAAGAACTAAGACCACAGAGACTGAAAAGTACTCACCAAAACGCATTCAAACTCAAGTTTTGTTTTGTTTTTTAAACACTGTGGCATATGTGTTCAGGCTGAGTTCAGCTCAGAGGGGCACCTGTTTTCACCACTTAATTTACAAAGTCCTTAGGACCTCTATGATATACATTTGTATGCAAACTTGATGTTTCATAAAAGATACTAACAAAATGGAATATTTCTGAAAATATTCATGCACATCAAAACATCAGGAAAAGTTCCAATGACTTCAAAAAGGCAGTTATATCTTTAAAGATACCCTAAGCTGGTTATCTCTCCCTCTTTGTATTCACAATTAAGATATACTTTTGTACGTCATAATATATAATCTTTAAGGTACCTTACAACTCTGAATTTTAAGATTCCATGATTATTGAACAAAATTCCTTCAAACTGGTAGAACACGTGTACCAATGAAATAATTACTACCAAAAAATCTGAAAGTTGCTATATTCATTCATCACTGAAATGTTTGGCCTAAACATTTTTTTTTTTTTTTTAAAGATTTTATTTAGTTATTTGACAGAGAGAGAGATAGCGAGAGCAGGAACACAAGCAGGGGGAGTGGGAGAGGGAGAAGCAGGCTTCCCGCCAAGCAGGGAGCCCGATGTGGGACTCGATCCCAGGATCCCGGGATCATGACCCGAGCCGAAGGCAGACGCTTAACGACTGAGCCACCCAGGCGCCCTGGCCTAAACATTTTTAATGAAAAGTAATACTCAATTTGCATTTTCAACATGGTACTGATGCCTTTATCCCACTAAAACACCTGTCACCAATGTTTCAAAAAAATTTTTGAAATTAACTACCAACCCCCACCTTTATTAAAGTCTTTCTAGATGTTCTCCAGTAAGTATACCAGAAAAAGAGGGTACATTTAAGTGAACAATACCCAATACCTCCAAGGTCCAAAGTAATCTCTCTTTCCACTGGATTCCCTAGCACTTGCATTACTACTATATTTTCTGTATTTTATCTTCACTAATATACTTTAAATTATGTAATGGCAGAAAGCATATTTTATCCACATCAAAAAGCATTTTGTACTTGCACAGAAGTGCTCGTTAAAAAAAAAATCTAAAAGAAACCTGCCATTTCTCAAGATAATGATGATCTCACATTAAACTCTTTCAAATTCTGAAATGAACTGAGTTTTTACAAAATTGAAATTATTATTATGCTTTTAAAAATTCTCTACAATTCCAGGGCACCTGGGTGGCTTAGTCAGTTAAGCGACTCTTGGTTTCAGCCCAGGTCATGTTCTCAGGTTCATGAGATTGAGCCCCACATCAGGCTCTGTGATTAGTGTGGAGTCTGCTGGGGACTCTCTCTCTCCCTCTCCTTCTGCCCCTCCCCCCTGCTCACTTGCTCTCTCTCTCAAATAAGTAAATTTTTAAAAATCTTTTTTAAAAAATTCTCTACAGGGGCGCCTGGGTGGCTCAGTTGGTTAAGCGACTGCCTTCGGCTCAGGTCATGATCCTGGAGTCCCGGGATGGAGTCCCGCATCGGGCTCCCTGCTCAGCGGGGAGCCTGCTTCTCCCTCTGACCCTCCTCCCTCTCATGCTCTCTGTCTCTCATTCTCTCTGTCTCAAATAAATAAATAAAATCTTTAAAAAAAAAAAAAATTCTCTACAATTCAGAGAAGTTCTCAGTATCAGTAACTGGTTAATATTCAAGCAACAGTACTTTGAGGTAGATATAATATTACAATAACTCTATAATCTAAGAAAATAAAACGTTTAAGAATGTTACTTAAGGGGCACCTGGGTGGCTCAGTCACCTCAGCTTTCGGCTCAGGTCATGATCTCAGGGTCCTGGAATCCAGCCCTGTGTTCAGCTCCTGGCTCAGCAGGGAGTCTACTTCTCCCTCTCCCTCAGCCCCTCCCCACCCTCCACCCGCCCCACTTATGCTCTCTTTCTCTCTCAAATAAATAAAATCTTTAAAAAAAAAGAATGCTACTTAGCTTAGGCTTGGTTTTAAACCTTTACTTGAGAGGAAGATGATATGTTTTTGGAAAGTATTATTTTTTTTTTTTTTTTTTGGAAAGTATTATTTACAATCATCAAATCTTACCTGAGGATTCCAACCTGGATCTAATTTCTTAACTACTGCGATATACTCCTGCATTGCTTGATTGGGGCTTGAATCACCAAGTGCTTTCCATGCTTCCCTACAGTAAAGAATATCCAAAATGATCTATCATTATCTATGGAAGTAACACAAATGACACATTCCTTTTTAGTAGTAAAAAACTGGCACACTCATTTTAAGGATGTGAGATATAGACAGAAGCCATAGATGAGTAGCTCTCTTTTTGCATTCACAATGGTGTCTACCAACACACACCTTATACCCCACCACCTAAGGAGCCTTTTTAGACATTTTTTTTTCCTAATCACCCTCCCCCATGAAATTTTATAACACAGATATACTGCATATCGAATGAATTTAAGAAGACCACAAACAATTGTAATATCCAAGATTTTATAACTCCCCAAAACCCAACTTTCATCCCTATTGAGAATGTATGATCTACAGACCAATAAAAGTAGTTTCCACCTTATACAGCATTTTGGTAACATGGGAATAATCATCACACAAAACAATATTCCCTGGGAAAATGTTTTGAACTTCGTATTTAAGCTGTGAGAAATACACCTTCCCCTTTTGCTGTTATCTCAGCTATAAGCTGCTGGTAGTGGATCCTGATGCAAGGACTTCAAAAAGTGAGGGGTGGTAAGGACAGAGGTAAGAATTTTAATGAGTAAGAAGGTAGGGACCACTTGCAGTATAAATATCAAGAGTAATATTTTAGTCCTGTGCCCCTTCTGAGTCATCCTTTTCTTCTTTTTCCTGTAAGCTGCCAAGACAGGCTCCTTCTTGGTCTTGCCCTGCCAATTCTTACTACTTCCACCCAGGAAGTAGATCCACTGATTCACTGTAAAACACAATTCAGTGCCACAGTTTTTTCACTACCTTCCTGCTCCCACAATGAATATAACATCTTTCTGAGGTTTTCCAAATTTATTTTTCCTGACCCTGTTGAGAGTTACCTGTATACATCCCAACACTCTACCCCTAAGTATATCAGCATATATCAAACAGGAAACTTAACATTAATATTACATAAACATAGACTACCTTCAGATTTCCCTGATTTCCCAATAATGTCCTTTATAGATTTCTTCTCCCAGACCAGGAGCCAATCAAGATTCACACATAGCACTGAGTTTTGTCTATCTTTAGCCTTTTAATTATCTTCCACGATATTGATATTTTTTAAGAGTCCAAACCAGTTGTTTTATAAAATCTCTCTCAATTTGAGTTTGTCTGATTGTTTCCTCACCTACATGGTATTCTTGCCAAAAATGAATAATCATGATTAGAATCAGGTTTTGGCAAAAGCAATATATAGGTGACATGTCCTTCACAATGTATCACATTAGGGGCACATGACATCAGTTTGTCCCCCCCCATCATCACAGATAAGATTAAGGACTTCGTAGAAGCAGTATCTCCTGTTGTCTTCCTTGTAATTAAAAAGTAAACTGAGGGTCAGATTGTGTAAATGCTCCTCAGTAGTTTTTCATCTAATGGTTTCAGCATCCATTGATGATTCTTGCCTGAATTATTATAGTGGCTGTAAAATCAAAACTTCTCAAAATTGCTAAAAACAATGAAAAACCAGGCAAGCATAAGGGAAAAAAATAATGCTGAAGTTATCAAATTTCAAAAATTAAAACAAAAAACTCACAATAAAAGTTGCATCAGGTATTCGCCACAACAGTAATAAAGTGTCAGAGAACTATTTGTTATCATCAGCAAAGAAAGCTTCTGCTAGAACATAAGAATAAAAAAATAAATTAAAAAAAAAAAAAAGAAAGCTTCTGCTAGAACGGAAATCAAAGCACTGCTTCCTTCACTGAGAATGCCCTACACAAACAAAGTCAGCAGAACTAAACATGGGCCTAATGACATAACTGATTTACATTCAAGTTCAAGCTTTGCATGACTTTACAGCTGGGTAACAAATAGTTCGCAGACACGCAAACTGTCAAGGGACCACATTTTGAGTAGCACTGCTCTAGAATGTAAAGTTAGAATCCATTTTTAGCACTCTTCTCTCTTCAACCATATTTCATTTTTTTTAAACCCTACCCTTTATACTTTTAATTCCAGGGCTGACACTTCCAAAGTTCTTCCTCCTATAACTAAGGGTCCCTATTGTATGCAATTTCTCTTTTTTTCACTTAGACAAGGTAAGAGTAAGTAAGACCTCATATGATAAGGAGGAACCTCTGAATTAGAAGTAAAAAAATCTTATAGATTCAGGAAAGAAGTGGACTCAGTATCTATTTTCCCCCCTTTCTTCCCAACCGGTTATTATAAGCACTTTACTGTGGTGTGGGTGGGGCAAGGTACAGAAGAGCGCTAGAGATAAGAAGATAAAATTGGGGCAGGGGAGAATAAAAATGGGGACTTATCCTGTTCTTCTCCCTTCCCATCTTCCTGTCCATTCAAAGATTCCTACACAGGGCAGAAGAGGTGATCCGTTAGGGGTTGTATGACAGGATAGGAAAATCTCAAGCAATAGCTCTTACCATCACTCTCTAAGAAGCTACCTGTATATAAGGAATGTATGTCTGTCGTGAACTATGTGTATACCAACATCATGGCATGAGAATCCTTTAGGAGACTTAGCTAAAAGCGGATTCTTTTAATCTCTCTCCCAATTGCCTGTTGTTAGCACAGTCTACAGCAGAGAGATTAATATAAAAATAATTCTTTAATCTGCTCACTACTTTCTAATTCCTAAACACCTAAACCATTTCGAACAACCTCATTAGATTCCAAGAATTTCTTACCATTTTTGCTTTCCTTCAAAATCAAAGAAGCTTGGTTTAGGAGTATTACAATTTCCAACTTTGACCTAATTGAAGGGAGGGAAAAAAATAAAGAACTTACTTTTCAAAGAAATGCCAGAGAAACTTTTTATTTTCAAATTTATTATGTATACTCAGTAACTATAGCTTAGAAAATATTTGCATCTATATAGAACAAAATTTAACATTCTTTGTAAAAGCAAGCAAAAAAACAAATTTTAAAATACAGGCTGCTTTGGCTTACTGCATAAAACCACTGTTGTCTAATACTGTGATACATAAAAAAATATGAGTGACAAACACTTGCATTCCTAAACTAGTAGACAAATTATATATACAAGGCAAATTATAAATATAGATTATGTGATCCTTATTACCATTTATCATATAGAATTTTTAAATGTGCAATAAACAAGCTGTGAAGTACAGTTTATCAGAATTCACAATATTGTTTATTTATGCTGATTCTCATTACACTATCGGCATTTTATCTCTCCCAAATTCCAGGATAAAGAATACCATTTGTAAAGTATCCTATTATGAAACTAATTGATACAAATATGGATGCTGACAGCCTTGCAAAAAACTTTCAAGGGTTTTCCAGCAACAATATAAATTCTATCTACTCCACAATAAGCTCGTCTTGTTTGTGACCAATACTTATTTGTAATCCTCAAATAACATTTGTAGTGAAAATATACGTTATTTCCTTTGTGAATAAACATAAAAATTCACACAAGTGCAGAATTCACTATACAGCCCTTATTCCCACTGCCAAAAGTAATCTCCTTCTGATGAACTCACAGCATGAACTCACAGCATTTACTCCACATACTTCTGACAGCAGCACTTTCCACTTTTACCTGGTGTTAGAAAGTTTTGGGTAAAGTCTCATCTTTCTATCAGAACACAGTCTCTAGGAAACCATTCTTAACTCACTCACTGCACCTTATATGGTGCCTACCTATGGTAGTAAAAAATGTTTGTTGAATGGAATGAATATGTCAGGCATGTGTTCAACCAAATACCTATTTTTTCCTAATACCACAATCCAACCCCCATCTACTTCTCAGAGACCTTCTCGTCATCTACTATTACTTTTATACACTTGAATTTTACTAAAATCAAACTGATGGTCTACTCATTAACTGGACTGATCTACTCACTGCTTTAAGGATTTTTATTCTGAGTTTCGCTCCTGTTACTGCCCTCCCCTAAAATGCCTTCTCCTCTTCCGTCAGCTTTTCACACCTTTCAGTCCCACTCAAGATTCAGATTATAAGAACCCTTTCAGTCTACAATAATCTTATCCATCTCTGAATTCATAACAAGTATCATCTCCATCATCTGCTTAGCAATTAATCACATGGCCCTCTGATGAATATTAAAATGTCCACTTACACAGGAGCAGCCCTATTATAAGGGGACAGAAGGAAGAAACAGTGAGAGAGCATTTCTTGATCACCACAAACCAAAAGCTTCATATATGTAATGGCAAATGAGCCATACAACAATCCTGTTAGGTTTGCCACTACAAATTCATTTTATAAATGAGTACAGAGACTCTGGGGAGGGATGCAGAGTTCACACATTAGCAAATCCTAAATTAGTAGTCAGGATGTGAATTTAGGACTATTTGACTCCAAAGTCCAATATTCCTTTTCTATAGCACTCTGTTTTACATGCCACATCAAATCTAGGCATCTCCAAATCACTTCAACTACTGGATTGTTAGAAACATGAGAGAAACTATGACACATCATAAAAACAGCGGTCATTACTATTTTTGTTTTTTATCCAGACACCAGCCAGTGGTAGAAACAAATACCAATATCTATCTATTCTCCATTTCTCCCACAGTAGTAGAAGTCTCAGCCAGACACACGTGTGGTCATCCAGCTAAATATTACATACACCGTGCAACTTCGGTCCAGGTAGAGAGGACTGGATGTGTGAGAAAGTGATATAAACATCTTCCTTGAAAAGAAAGGAGGGCTTGTCCTTCCCTTTCCCTGAGCCCTGGCTAGAACATGCATGTAAGTGATGGTGAGCCATCTCTGGCCATGGAAAGAGGATCTGAGAGGAGCAGTTCTCAAAATTTTTGGTCTCATGATCCCTTTACACTCTTAAAAAATGAGGACCCCAAGAAGCTTTGCTTATGTGAGTTATATCTATCAATATTTACCATATTAAAAATTAAAAGATTATAAAAATGTGTATTAACTAATTTAAAAATAATAAACTCATTAAGTTAACATATTTAAATAACAAAATTTTATGAAAAATAACTGTATATTCTAAAGCACAAAAAACTTAGTGAGGGGGCGCCTGGGTGGCTCAGTCGTTAAGCGTCTGCCTTCGGCTCAGGTCATGATCCCGGGGTCCTGGGATCGAGTCCCGCATCGGGCTCCCTGCTCTGCGGGAAGCCTGCTTCTCCCTCTTCCACTCCCCCTGCTTGTGTTCCTGCTCTCGCTATGTCTCTGTCAAATAAATAAAATCTTAAAAAAAAAAAAAACTTAGTGAGAAAAGTGTCACTGTTGTACATTTTGCACATCTCTTTAATGTCTGCCTTAATAGAAGGCAGTTGTATTCTCATATCTACTTATCTATTCAATATACTGCAATATGTTGCTTGGGTTGAAGTATATGAAGAAAAAGCTCACACAGATACACTGTTGCAAAAGAAAGAAGTATTTTAGTAGCCTTTTCAGATAATTGTGGATATTTTTTTTCTTTGATACCACACCAAAACTCAACAAGTGGCAGTTTCTTCAAGATTGGATGCAATGTGGATTCTGATGGCGTATCAATGAATTTTTCCTTCTGCTACATTAAAATCCATTGGTCTGACTTGCACTTTGAATGGATCTTTTACTCACACATAATTTGTAACATTCCATGCAATATTTGGAAAATATGGTTCACTAAGTTATGCATTCCTTCCAAATGTTGACACATTATACAAAAGCAGAAGTTACAATCATTAGAATCACCATTAATCTCATCAAAAAAGTTCTTAAGTATCAGGAAGCTGTCAAGTTCATGTGACAGATACAGATTTTCCAAACCTCTAATTTTCATTTGAAGGCTCAAATGTGACCACTGGCAACAAACACTGTCAGCTGTTTTCCTTAAAGTGACAGGCTCACTTCATTCACTTTGAAGAAACCATCTGCCAAATACTCAAATCTGAATAAGCAGAGTTAATCTGTGAGTTGTTTTATTAAGGAAAAATGATGTTTCATGAAAAATGTGGATAGCTCAGCTTGCAACTCAAAAACTACACAAGTGCTTTTCCTCGAAATGGCCAACATAATTCAGTGTGCAGAACTGCCTTGCATGTACTCCCCATTTCATCACACACAATATTAAAAAGGGAACACAAGCAGAGGGAGTGGGAGAGGGAGAAGCAGGCTTCCCAGGACCCTGGGATCATGACCTGAGCCGAAGGCAAACACTTAACGACTGAGCCACCCAGGCGCCCCTATCAAAGACATTTTTAAGTGAAATTGGCCTTTTTTTTTTTTTTTTTTTTACTCTGAGTACATGGTGGTAAAATATATGACTACGAGTACAATTTGCTGTCACTGCCTTGATTCATGCCGATGCGTCAGCAGTTTTATCAAAGAGAAAAAAGGCAAATAATGTCTTAGTATTATTAGGAAAATAGTTTTGTATCTTATAGATCTACTGAGAAAGTCTCAGGGATTCTCAGGGGTCTCTAGACCGTAATTTGAGAACTGCTGCCTTGGGGGAATGGCTGAACTACAGAACAGAAAAAGACTAATCCCCCAGATGATCTCGTGAAGCAGAATCACCGTACCAGCCCTAGGTCACCTACCTCCAGACCATTATGTGTGATGAAAATAAAAGCTCAGCAGCTGACCCTATAGTCTAACTGACACATAAACTTTTGCATTCCCAAATTCAAACAATAGTTCTGGATCAGAAAAGACTGGGTAAATAAAACTACGGGATTTTAGGACATGATGAGCAACAGTTTCCAAATCATTGAATAATGAATCATTAGCTATAGAGCAGAGTTATAAAATGTGCCATTTTAACAAAACACCTAAACTCTGTTCTGATATATGTATGACAAAACAATGTTTTAACAAAGGGGGCTAATGGCAAATGCCAGTGAATCATGTGTGGCCAGGTTAAAGTAGGAGAACACGCTGGGTATCCTCACTGTGCTGGTGCTGAAGGCTCTGGTGAAATGAAGCTCATGGGTTTGAAATTTTCATTGTCCTAGAGTTTTCACAGGTGTCAATTAGTTATCTTTTCCTGGGAAAGTGTAGGCTACTGCAGAGGACCAAAAAACTGTTCATTGGTGTGATCTTTTTGAAACCTCACTAAAAGATGATTTTGGAGGCACAGGCTTATCTGAGATTAAAAGAGCTACGATGTTAGGTAAGTTTAGGGTTCTGAAAAGAAAGTTCACAGCTCAGCTTATTTCTGTTATCTTCCTGGGGACAACTTTATTTCATTCGGCCTCCAAAATGCAGTGCTATTCTGAATACAAAATGTAATTGTTTCATGAGAAATTCTGGTCCATGCATCAATTATATTGGAATTTCAACTTTATTATGCTATCAAAGATGCTATTTTTTTTAAATTTTATTTATTTGACAGAAAGAGAGAGAGAGAGAGAACACACAAGCAGGGGGGAGCTCTGGCAGAGGGAGAAGGAGAAGCAGGCTCCCTGCAGAGCAGGGAGCCGGATGCAGGGCTTGATCCCAGGACCCTGGGACCACGACCTGAGCCAAAGGCAGACACTTAACGACTGAGCCACCCAGGTGCCCTATTTTATTTTTAACAGAATTCTGAAATAGTGTTAAAAACAGCATCTTTGGGGGCACCTGGGTGGCTCAGTTGGCTAAGCATCTGCCTTCGGATCAGGTCATGGTCCCAGGGTTCTGGGATTGAGGCCCGCATCGGGCTCCTTGCTCTGCAGAGAGCCTGCTTCTCCCTCTCCCACTCCCCCTGCTTGTGTTCCCTCTCTCGCTGTGTCTCTGTCAAATAAATAAATAAAATCTTTAAAAAAAATAATAATAAAATAAAATATTTAGGAGGGCCTGGGTGTCTCAGTCAGCTAAGTATCTGACTCGATTTCAGCTCAGGTTATAATCTCGGGGTCATGAGATAGAGCCCCGCCTCAGGCTCCACACTGGGCATAGAGCCTGCTTAGGATTCTCTCTCCCTCTCAAAAAAAAAAAAAAAAAAAAATTAGAAGAAATTGATGAAAATTGTTCCAATGTCATATCTAAGTAAGCATAATCTTATTCTCTAATAACAAAGAATTTTATTTCCAGATACAGAATATTTCTAAACACCTTAACATCAAGTTCTTGAAAGGGTGAGGGACACACCTCTTCCAGAAGATCTGGATGAAGTGAGGATGCATGAGACAGAATGGTTACCAGTTGACAGGTGACTACAGTTCACTGATAACTCAGAAATCAGATATTAATAATGATGACACTAAAACCAGTAAATAAAGTTATGTCCTAGAAAGAAAAAGAATGTTCTCTAGGGAATTTGGAGAAAAGCAGTCTTATGCTGCCCAGAGAATTACTAGTCAGACATGTTAAAGGTCCTAGCACAATGTTCAATAAACTCTTCTTGTTTAATAATTGAAAGTCTGATTTTAATGTTATTGGGACAGGATAAATAACCAAAGAGAAAAAAGATATCCAGAACTTCTGCAAGAAAGCAAATTCCAAGGCCAATTCAGGGGCAATTTTCATTCAACACTGTAATTTATACCATATGTATCCATAGCTACGTCTCTCAAGTCACTTTAACCCGTATTCATAACTGAAATTCATCAGTCTTCAAAAGAAGATTCATCTCTATTCAGTATATTCAGTTGAAGAATACAGAGGGACCCTACAACTATTTTTTTTTCTTAAAAGAATACAGGAGGAAATAGATACCAAGAAGCAAAAGAAAGGTTAAAATTTTTTAGTAAAATAAAATGGGCTATTCCCCAGAACGTCATTGCTTCCAGTGTTCCAAAGAGCTGGAGCTTTCCTAAAATGTTATTTAACTTTTGTTAGCAATTTTTCCCGTGTTTAAATCTAGACTCCTCAAGTAACTTTCTAAGTCTCTTGAAGGCAAATACCATGATGCTTTTTCTTCTACGCACTCCCTGCAGGCATAACACCCAAGTGTTTTGCATATAAAAGATGTTATACAAGTATTGGTTGATTATGATAAAGCAATTATTTCTCCTTCTGGTACCTCTGACTCTTTGAATGATAAATCAAACATGTCTTATAGGACATTACGAATTTTATTTCCAGGTAAAGTTCAGAGCCTTAGAGTCAGGAGCTACAATCTAGTTCTAGTTCTGACTGATCTGTCTGTATGACCCTAGGCAAGTTATCTACTCTCCTTGGGCTTCCCTTTCCTTTCCAGCAAAAGAAGGGGATTATTTCACCTGGTGTTTACTAGCTCTAAAATGTTTATATCTAAAAATCAGAAGCCCATTCAGCCAAAACATAAGTCTAATATATTTAGGAATACAATATACAATACAATACAAAATACAATATTTAGGAATACAAATACAATAACAAAAGTATAATACTTTATTTTGTATTGCATCACCCTTTTATTACAATCATATAATTTTCTTGGAGCTCACAATTTTTTTTTAACATTACTTCCATGTGACCATAGTACTTCCATAATTACCTCCATATGACCCTTCAGCAAGAGTGAATGATAAATCTTATTTTATCATCCTCATTTTGTAAAGGTTCTGAAGCTGGTAAAAGCATTAAGTGCAAGGTCACTGTGCAAGTCAGAGAAGACATGGACAACTGTCATTCGGTGTCCAGCCAAATATCACTCCCAGGAGAGCACACAGGCCCTCTCCATATTCAGAAGGATGCTAATCCTTAGTGGATGATTATACATACACACACGCAAACTTCATTACACCTAGCCATCAACCAAGCACGTTTACTATTAGATTTTGGAGGACAGAGAAGGCCTCTTGTCGCTCTCCCGCATCCACCCCTTCCCCAGGACTTTACCTGCTTGTACCTGGCATACAGGTACAAGAGCTGCTCCCTGCTGGCCACTTGAACCAGGCCTTGGAGGTGCGCTGCAGCCTTCTCAAAGAGCTCGGTCAGGCTCCCGGACGCCTCGGTCTCGGGGCTCTGGAGGGATTCCACATCACCGGAGTCGTCCCCCGAGCTCAGCTCTCCGCCGCTGTCGCCCGTGGTGGCCCCCGCGGGCAGGAATGGCGAGGCCATGTGTCCTCGCTCGGTCCGTCCCTCTGTGTCCGCTCAGTGCTCCTCGGAGCCGGTGTAACGCTGGCTCGGGGGCCTGGCCCACCAGCCTCGGTCCTGAGCCCGACCTCGAGTCGGACCCAAGCTCACTCACTCCGCGCTGCCTCACGTAACTCTGCCTCCCTCCCACTTCTCTCCTGGGTGTGCAGGGCGGGCTCCGCTACTCCTCGGCGGCTCGCCCCGGCCGACCCGGTCTCCTCCGCCTGCCTCTGGCTAACAGAGCGCCCGGGCTCGACCCGGGTCCCCCCACCGGCGGGGGGG